CTTCCAAATGTCCTTTGTCCTTTGCAGATATCAAGGCCACGTTGGCGCAGCCCTGGTGCTCGGCGGTGTGGACAAGAACGGCCCCAGCCTGTACACCATCTACCCGCACGGCTCCACTGATCGCCTGCCCTACGTGACCATGGGCTCCGGTTCGCTGGCCGCAATGTCGGTCTTTGAATCGCGCTGGAAGAAGGACATGGATGTGAGTTAACTTGCTGCTAAACCGCAGTTTTCTTGTTGATGCAAATTTTGCTAATTTCCTTTTCTTTCTTTCTCATCAGCTTGAAGAGGGCAAGAAGCTGGTTCGCGATGCAATTTGCGCCGGCATCTTCAACGATCTTGGCTCTGGCAGCAATGTGGACATTTGCATCATCACCAAGGATACGACTGAATACAACCGCCCTTATGAGATCGCCAACCTGAAGGGTGTCCGGTAAGTCCGACAATTATTTGCAGTTTCAAGTTTACCTCATCTTTGCTAACTCTTCAATTTCCAAACTCTCTCTCTCTGTTCTGTTTAGCAACAACTCGTACCAGTTCAAACGCGGCACCACTGAAGTGCGCACCGCCAAGGTGATCCCCCTTGAGGTGGAGTCCACCCAGACGTTCTACATTGCCGCCGATGGCTCCCGGAAGGCCGGCGAGAAGATGGACACCTCTTCGTAGGCGTCTCTTCTGCATCACTACCACTCTTTAATGTTATTACTACCACACGATGTCATTGGCTGAAGCAAAAGCGAGAGAAGCTGTCTTTTCAACCCTTTTTATAAAAAGAACAAGAAATTAACACACACATCTGAGTGAAGCCTAATGAGCGCTAATCGGCGGCTGCCAATGTATGTTCTTGCCACCTTGGATCTGCCCCATCACCATCACCTCCCAATCGCCCCATCATCCCCTCATCACCTCGTCGTGCACACATATCCCCCTGTGATATTTGTGCTCTACTTGGCGCGGACAATGAGCACTTTTGCACTTGCTGCTGCTGCTGGTGGTGGTGGTAATTTGCCTGGCACACTCGGAAGGAAAGGTGGTGGTGGTAGTCGGAGAGAAGGAGAGCTCTGCTTTGCATCTGCTTAGCCGACCGACCGCAGAGGACAGATTTGCTCGGTGAACACAAACTCCCGCCAACATTGGATATTCAAAAGCGCTGATCGATGGGAAAGTCAGGCGTGTGTGAGTGAGTGTGTGAGCACCGGCGACAGATTTCGTCTTTGCGACATCAATGGTCGCCGTCGTCGTCGTCTGCAGTGCCAGCAGACAAAGAGTCACGGTGTCGTAGGTGTTGAATGATTGAAAAAGTGTTCCCTTCTTCTCTTCGACTTTTGGCGGCAGTGGCAGCAGTCCTGCTCCCTTCCGGCGGCGAATCACAGCGAATCAGGCACGGCTGAGAGAATCAGCAGTGCCAGTGGGCTAAAGTGCCATCACAGCTGCTGCTGCTGCTGTGGTTTGCGATGCATCAATAGGCTCGTTGTGTAACTCGTTGATATTAACAATAATCGGCCACCACCACCACTGCAGACAGAGGCAAACAGTAAGGCCCGCCAATGGACCGTGACCGAGTGGATCGGACGCCGAGCTTTGTTCTTCAGTTGCACAAGTATGTGTGTGTGTGTGCGACTTAAGTGTCACAAGTCGGTTTGGTTTGGTGCCTTTGCCGCCACAGCAGCAGCAGCAGTTACTGTGATGTGTCCACAAAAAAACACGGCGAGGATGAGGATGAGGAAGAGACAGACGACCACTCGACAAATACCACCGCCACTTCACTTCAGCCAATTGCTCTCTAGTTTAGTGGTAGCAAAAAGAAGAAGAAGAAGGCAAACAAGGAAATGCCAATGCCGAGTGCCCTCTAATTTCGGTTTTTGTAGCAGCTGTGCAGCAGCACCAGTGTCCATCAAGCTGAGAATTTAGCGGTATTATATTTCGACTGCGGATTTTTTTCCACTACTGACTTCTAACAAATGTCTCACTATGTACACCGGGAAGAGTCCACTCCCTCTCTCTGCCGTTGATTAGCCATTAGCAAACTTCAGCTGAACCGGTCTGGTGTCCTCGGCGATCAGGCGGTTGTAGTGGCGCATCTCGTGGATGGAAGTGCCGGAGATCTTCAGCGCCAGCCTCATCAGCCCGGCGAAGGTGAAGCCGAAGAGCGAGCCGACGACGGCCGTCACCAGACTGGCCCTGGGGCCCATCTTGGCGCGGTACATCGCCCCGGTGAAGGCGCCGGTGAGGGCGCAGTCGAGGTAGTGGACGTCATTGCGGTAGGTGATCGAGGTGACGAGGGGCGCCATGAAGAGCCCGGTGAAGATGGCCATGCGGACGCCCATCTTGATGCCGCCCCGGAAGAACTCCACGTGCATCGTGTCGGCCAGGTGGCGATTGGCGCGGTACTGCCCGTGGAAGACGTTGGCATTGTACTGCCGGGCGTAGTTCTGCAGCTTCGTCGTACTGAAGGAATAGCCGCCCACCAGGAAGCCCATGACGCTGCTCATGGCGACGGTATTCGCCACAATGCGGTACTCCACCGCGTCGTCGCCGTTGATGTAGCAGAGGTAGGCGTTCTTCAGTCGGTCCCAGCCCGTCTCATTCGGGTCCACCGGTATGGTCTTCACCCTCTCGATCATCTCATGATCGACTTCCAGAAAGCGCTTGAAGGGTGAGCGGAGCATCGCTCTAAAGGAAAATTTACCGTCATCGCTGCTGATGCTGCTGCTGTCGGCCGGCTCATTTGGGAGTACATTTGCTAAAAGAGGAGGATCTTCTTGGGACATTACTGGTGGTGGTGATCAATAAAAAAAGATGATCGGCACCAAAGAAAAAAAATGTGTTTTGACCAGAAAAGATCACAACATTGGAATCACGTGATTTGTTCCCACTTTCGTAAAAGACGTACCGGCTGGCAACAGGTTCAAAATCAGGTGATAAGCTTTGGCGGTCTGCTAATTGATTTGTTTTGTTTATCTAAAATAAGTAAACGATGCTCGAATCAGTTTCCGATTAATTCACTACTCATCTGTTGAGTTTGCTCATCGACGTCTCCTGCTGCTGATCATCCACAACACTCGGAAATGGCTTGACAATCTTTCACGACAGGTGACGAGAAATGTACTAGAGAGTGCCCAAAGGGGAGACGAACTGACAAACGGACTGCTGCTTTAAATGAGTACCTTCTGAGTGCCGTGATGACAATAGCATCCAAAAAGAAAAGGGAGCCAATTATGGTTCACAGGTCTCCAGAAGGAGAGCGCGCAATTAAAATCAATCAAAGCGGTGTATTAATTCAAGCTGGGTAGGGAAGAGTAGTGAAGAAAAATAGCAAAAAAGAGGTAACGGATACAGCAGCCTCAGCAACAGCAACATCCACCAAAAAACTAGCGATTAAGAACAGTGTAAGCGAGGTAGTGAGATGATAAATCTGTGTCGAGAGAGGATGTCAAGAGAGAGCTAGAATTAGAGTTAGACCAGAAGGAAAGAAGACTGATCTGCGGTGACACTGGTGCTCAGACGATGCTGCTGTTGCTGCTGTGCACCCCGTAATTGGCCACTTGCGGTGATGCGGCCTTTTGCCTGCTCACTAACTTTGATGCTCGCTCGCTTGCATCGTGCACAGTAGTCGAGTAGTTTAATTGAAAATTACCTGCTACTACTGCTCATTCATTCAGTAGAATTGTAATACGCGGCGGCGGCGAAAAGACATCTCTCAGCAGACAGACGGAGCTAACGAGGGCGAATAAATCATCGCCTCGCATGTCTTCATTGCTCATGTTTTTCTGTTGTTCAATTCCCTCTCTTTTTCTTGCTCTTTCCATCATCATATTCTGATTCTTTTTTTAGTTTTTCTCTTTTTTCTGATCAAGGTTGCACTAGTTTTTTCCCATTTAGTCATCGTTTACTCCTCCATCAACTCGTTGGTTTGTTTCAGCCGGTTGAAACAGTTCGCTGTTTGTGACTTCTTTTGCTTTTCCTCCTCTTTCTTCTTCTTGCAATCAATTAGCAAAGTGGACTGCCCCCAATGCATCATTGTCTGTCGGCGTTGTTGTTGTTGTTACTGTTGCTGCTGGTCATCTCAATTAATTGGTGCATCACTCAATGGAAGAGTAGTGCCGGACGGTGAGTGAGATCATCAACTGGTCATCATCCAGAGCCGGCAATCATCTAGTTTCTATTTTTCCATTCTTTTCTCCTCTTCCTCCTCCACAACTCACAACAATGGTATTTTTTTCTGCCGGACTAGTATCGTCAGTTGTATCGATAACTGACTACTAACTTGCGATAATTACCTTGCAAGCCAAGTGTGCTCTAGAAGAGGGCCACCAAAGCCAGAGCGACAATCATCTGAACATCAACATTCACGAACAGATGGTCAGGAGAAAAAAGAAGAGTTCTAAGCTAAACTGTCCTCATTGTGAAATGATGTGTCAGAAGAAGGCTTTGTGTGTGTCCACAGTGTGGACAATGTGGGTTAGCTTCTTGTCGCTTCTGCTGATGATAATAGTGTCTCGGTGGCGACTCACGCAAGCACTATGAACAGCACTTCTTCACTTCTTCCCCCAGTACAAATGTCATTTTCCGGCAATGATCACCTTCGTGGCTTTTCGTGCTCGTTGTTGGTGATCCATTTGATGCAGTAGTTGTTGATGAAGAGGCCTGCACAAGGAGAAGCCGCAAAGTAGGCAAGAAGTGTTGCTGATAAAAAATAAGCAAAAGAAGGGGTCATTGGAGACGAAATGAATGCTGCTGCTGCAAATGATGAAACCCTTACTGAATGGATGCTGATGCTGATGGCTTTTGAGCATTGCCTGCATTTCAATGGTCATTAAAGTATCGTTATTTTCCCTACGATAGTATTCCATGTTTCAATGAAAAGCGAGGACCCCCTTTTCATGCATTGTGTAGCTGCTTCTGATGCTGCTGCTGCATCAAAAAGCTGACTGATACAAGCAGACACTAAGTTTACGTTTGTATATTTATTTAGTGGTATCAATTGCAAGGAGAATTTAAAAAGCCGACTCTTGGCAAACTCGGACAACAAAAAAGGTGAACAGTGCTTCATTCAGCTGCTTCAGCAGACCGGCACAATGACACAGTGAGAAGAGGCCAATAAATCAATGGATGCTTGGGCTGTCACTGAGGACACACCGGGCAGTTCTACTTCTCTGTTGTTGAGGGGGCATTCAATTAGGCGTCGGTGTCTGCAGTAACTGACCGGTCAGTGCAGTTGGTGCTGTGGTGCTCACCACACTGTGCTTGCCACACTCGGTAAGAAGTTCTCAGTTCATAAATGCAAATTAGCGAGCACATTCACGCGCCCAAAGATGCAGATGAAGATGTGCTTTTTATCCTCCTCGGCAGAGGTGAGCTAATTATGAGCTGTGGCCGAAACGGTGGCATGTTTGAGTTGGCATTTGAATGCAAATATTCGCCAGCTCGTCCTCTACCTTTCTTCATTGTTGTTTGGTTAGTGGCATTCATAAATCAATGAGGCATCTGCACCAGCCTGACCACCTCTATTATTTATCTTTTTTCACAAGAGGGGTGGCTCCCAAATACTAGACACTACTTTTCAACACTACTGAACCGATGACATCGACCCCATAATTAATAAGCATCACCCTCTATTGAGTGTTGAGTCGTTTTCTGAGTTGAAAGCTTTGTTTGAAGTTCAA